GCGCTCACGCTGCTGCCGCCGTCCTTCACGTCGCTGTGCCTGCCCGCGCAGAACTGGTGCGCCAAGTGCAATGCCTCCTTCCGCATGACCTCAGACCTGGTGTACCACATGAGGTCGCATCACAAAAAGGAGTACGCCATGGAGCCCCTGGTGAAGCGAAGGCGGGAGGAGAAACTCAAGTGCCCCATTTGCAACGAGTCCTTCAGGGAGCGCCACCACCTCTCCAGGCACATGACCTCCCATAACTGACCTGGACGGGACCCCAGCTTTCCACGCGGCGCGTACACGCACAGTCAAGCCACCTGTAGGAGCAAGCACGCGAGGGCATCCACCACCTTCTTGTGACCTGAAACATGGCACCCAGGGCGACAGTCTCACACTCACTTTCTCTCTCTCTCTCTCTCTCTCTCTCTCTCTCTCTCTCACTCTCTCTCTTTCTCTCTCTCACACACACACACACACACACACACACACACACACACACACACACACGAGACAGGATGGTGGATTTTTGATGGGTGGGTTGTTTGAGGGGTTTTCTTTTAAATGCACGCATTTTCACTTTCCCCAAAACAAAGATACATTTTTAAAAATGTCATATATTGCAACATATTGATGCATTTGTCATACGTTTCTACTTAAATTATTAAGCACTTACAGTTTAGATGTAATAATTATATGTAAGGGCAAAATTTATTTTAGATATAAAGTAAAGGAGGAGGGTGAGATGCTTTCTGCATTTACTGATGACAGTTTGTGTTCTTATAAAAAGGGGGTCACCATTCAATTTCCGTTTTCAGGGGGAAGCGCATGTATCATGAAATGATTATGGACTTCAATGAAGAATGTCATCATTATGTAAATATGTATTTCCTTTTAATACAAAGTGTAACTTTTGTGCCAGTGAAATGGAGTCTGAATAGTTACGTGTTTCTTTTATCCCTGGAAAGATTTATTAAACTTTATAGATTATCCGGGTATGTTGGATGCTTTGACAATAAATGACTATTTTCTTCAGAGCAATTATTTGGAAAGTGTTTTAAAATATGTTGGGGTTTTTTTTTGTAGCCAAGAGCTACACTTTGAGTAGATACCATCTATTTTCACTGAGTCCCTGAAAAGAAGAGCTAGCAGCAGAGGGATGCTAAACCCTGCCTCACTTGCATTTATTTACTCTAAGAGCCTAAAAGAGAAAGGACAAGGTTTGATTATTATTTGGAAAATCTTTAGCTGGATCAAAGGACAAAGCATTTAAACAAAGATGCCGGTCATGAAGCTAACTTGTCATTAGGATGTCAGCATTCTTTTCAGCAGCAGGATAATTAGCATCTTTACAAGGAACCAGAGATAATTTTCAGGCCTGGATCAGGGAAACCAGATGAAAGGCCCAATTAAGGTTCTATTGGTGATGCCTATACGGAAGAGTATCTTGTCCTCTGGAACCCGTTAGCATTCTGTCACAACCCATTAAGAGACCCTATGGAGAGTTTCTTCAGAAACCAAGGTGAAAGGACCACAGTTGCCTGTACTGCAGGGCCCAGCTTTCCTTCTAAAGGCTTGAGCAGCTTCTGGAAAAACAAAAACCAAGAAAACAAAACTAGTTCTGGAGCATTATCATAACTTTCCTCCCTCTCCCTGCCTTTCCTCTTATGAAAAGTCCCTCTATAATCTTCATATACTGACAGCAGATCTTAGTTAAATAGCGTGTATGTGAGAGTGTGTGGTATATCCAGCAACCACTGGATGCAAAGCCAAATGGATGATGATCCTTTAGGTCTTAGGATGGCATGAACTTAATCCATGGGCATCTTGAGAGTCCCTCTATGCATGTGTTAGTTACAGACATGACACTGATTTATCTATCAGAGGTGTTCTTTTCCACTCCCCCCACCCTTCCTTCACATCTTGCCAACCCTCCCCTGTCAGGAGGACACTTATGAAAAGGCCTGAAATGGGAAACTTGCACATGATCTCACTGTAGACATTCAAAGCTTTTCCCCTAAAAGGATTTTAAAGGCTTTATTATGTTAAGTTATGATTAGGGCAGGGGGCAGGTAAAGTCTGGGGTAGGGCAAAGAGATGTAATGTGACTCAGATTGGTAAAAAAGATGATTGGCTTTCTTAAGACCATCCAAGTACCTTCTGTACTACAAGTTGTTGAGGCCTGCTCTATGTTTTGCTAGGTAACAGTTGGATGATCTGAAACACTAACATCCAGCAAAGTGTGATGAGAAGAGCAGTCCAAAATTCCAGTTCCAACTGCTATTCAGGACTAGTATGACCATGGGGAACTAATGGATCGCAGGAAAAAAAATTTTCTTTAAAAACAAACACAACCCAGGCTGCTTGGGGCCTAACTTAAAAAATAAATAAATAAAACTTGAACGCCCCTTCCTTATGCCCTATCCTTCCAGAATCTTTTTCACTATGAAGGCTTTATGACTTGTTGGGGATTCAGACATGAACTTAGGTTTAAAAAAGGTAAGCAAATGCTGCTTGGAAAACGGCTTCCTCCTAGTCAGGAATCATATTTTTTGAGGGATACATGGAGGCATTCCCTGAGCTGCCCCCGTGTTTTCTTTTGTACGGTCATTAACTTAATCATACATTCAGGGAGAAAGCCCAGCCTTGGCTGAGCCACTGCCCACGCGATCCAGGTAGGTGTGTTCATGTCAGACACTTTAGAGCTGGGCAGCTCTACTGATCAGTCTGCCCACAAGACCTTTTTGGCGGCAAGTAGTAAGGGAAGGGTGCCCAGAGGGAGTTTTGCCCTCAGCCAAGGCAAACAGAGACATGTTTCATTTTAATCCTACATTTGCCAGCTTTCAGATCTATCTTAACTCTCTCGGTGTCAGAATTTTCTCAGATGAGAGTTTGTAACTTCCATAACCCCACCTGTCTGCCGAGTTAACGCAGGTCGCTGGCTGAGGCCATGGGCATACATGTCTGCACACAGCTGCAGAAGGAACAAGGTCACGGGGTCATGCAGACTTGGAGCTCGCAGGCCCTATGAAGTCCAGGCAGGTGGCGTGAGCTCCCGGTGCGGAGACCGCAGGTCCTAAAGAGCGAGGAATGGGAACCCGCACCGGCTGTGGCACCCGCAGTGGTTGTGTCCTGGTCAGGAGCAGGATGCCTGGATTGATGTGGCGCCTCGCGCCGGCCATCTCTGGAGCGGATCCGGAATCCTCCTCATTTGGCGCTGAGTGTTGGGGGACGCCTGTATTTCCCACGATGTGCTTGCAGGATATAGCGCGCCCCCGGGCGTGCGGGAACCCGAGGACGCCCGCACATCTCGGCACAGTTCTCAGGCGCCGGAGAGCCGAGACCGAAACCGGACCCGCCCGGCGAAAGTTCCTACGGTCCCGAGGCCCAGAGTCGCAACTGTTGCCGTTGCAGCCGCGCGCGGGCTAGTTGCAAGCACAGATAATCGGCCGCTGTCGGACGCCAAGGAGGGCAGGGTAGGGTGGGGGTGGTGGCAGGTGTCCGGCCGGGGTTCGCACCTCCCCATCCAGCCGGTGCGCCACCCTTCGTGTCTTCTACTAGGTTTCCCCTCCACGCAGCTTATCTTCTAATGAGCGTGACCAATGAGTGCGACCCCTTGGAAATCCGGGACCAGTCAAATCCAGTAAACTTGCCAGGAAGTGCGCCCCCTCCCCACCCAGGATGGATTCCGAGGGCTCGCCTCTCGGGTCAGAGGTTTTCCGTTTCTTTCTCCACCCACTAGCCCCAGACTCCGCTCGCCAGAAGGACGGTGCTGCGGCTCAGGTGCAGGAGTCCGCGG